CCCCCCCCCCAAAACAAATGGAAAGTATGGATTAATAAATTGTCTAAATGAGCTTACCCCTTGATCATAATTTCCAATTGTTCTGAACTCAAATTCTTCAATGCTGCCGGTCCTTCTAGCCATTTTGTTCCCCGTAAGTCCAGCTCCAGCAGCTGAGATTCCCGAAGAACAAGTAGCTGAGTATCACTCCATACTCTTTTTTCTCTTTAAATTTGAAAGATAGAATCTATACAATGGTGGTTTTTTTTAATGTGCTTTGAAAACACCCACTTGCTTTAAAACTTAGATTGTAGCACAAAATTCAATACATCCTCATGCCTTTTCCAGTATTCATGTTCATCCTTCTTAGTTATTAGCCAAGAAAAGGTTTTGCTTCCAATTATTTCATTAGGAAATGATGTCCCCTGTCTAACTAAACACAGAATATTATAGGGGAAAAAAACCACTTTTGCACCTCCAAATGATGCAGCAACAGCAAGAGAGCCAGTAACAGACCCTGTGGCAGTTGCTGCAGCAGCGAAGCCACTTGCTCCAATTGCAGGGATAATACCACCTAACGCAGGAGCTAGAGCACCCAATCCCTGCGCAATTGCAGGAGCAGCTAGGCCTGTGGTAAAATGAAAGTCAACAACAAATTAAACACTACTAGTTTTATCATAAAATTGCATCACAGGAGAGACATCTGCTCTTTTGAAGTTGACAGATCTGATACCTCCAGTGATAGCCATCAAGGTTCCTCCAGTTAAAGCAGCTGCACCAATCATACCTCCCCGCTTCATTTCCTCCCATGAGATTTCTGAAGTTTTTGTTTTGTCTTCATTAGTAACTTCTTTTACTGAAGCCATATAAGAACAAGCAACCATCACCTCCATAACTTCCTGCAGAATAGAAGTTCCTCATGGATGGCTCTACATGTTTTTTATTTTCTTTTTTTCTTCTTCTTTTTTACTTATTTATCAGTTTGATTATTTATTTTGAAGCATAGAGGGTAGATAGATATTCATCAAAAGGCAGATATGTAAGGCACAACTCATATACAAAAGGAAGCTTGTAAAAAAAAAAAAAAAAAAAAAAACTTCAATATACAGACCATTTTAAGCCACTCAACCCCAAGCCATGCTGCCAGCAACCGCAATGCCACACGGTGTCGAGCATCATAACCCTTCCTTACTTTGGAACATTTATTGCCATGTTCAGTATTATCTGCCACACAGGCTGAAAGAAGTGCAAAAAGAACAGTTACTTTCCTCTCGTAACTGATCAGATTTCCCTCTTCCACCGGTTCCTCAAGGGGTTCAGATACATCTGGTACTTTTTCTTCAGTGGATGACTCAGAACTTGTCCTCTTTATAATCTCATAAGGCTTTGCAGAAACCTCAGACACTGGTTTCGTCTCAGGAACTTCATATCTTTCGCGGCATTTAGCTTCATATTCAGAATCCACAGGGTTTTCTGCTGAATGAACAGGAGACTCTTCCTCACTAAGAGCCATGGCATCAATGGTTTTTGACAAAGCGCATTCCTTGTCAGTTTTTTCAGAAGAAGGCCCATCATTAGTTCCCTCTGATAGTAAGGTCATCAACTGAAATAAAACAAACAAAATTAATAAAACAGAGGAACACACAAAAAGGGTGCAGCCAGAGAGAAAAATACAATAAAATAGGTGAGCCAAAAAGTAAATAAAATCAACCTAGAATAATGATGTGTCTGAATTTCATAAGAGGAAGAAAACACACCGCTCCTACATGATGCCTAACTTGCGACGAAGATCCTGCAGTTTCCTTTATCCCCTTCCAGGATTGTTCATCCACTCCTAAAAACCTGAAATTCAACCAAGAAAATCATGAAGCCCAACTCCACTGGCCCTAATTCAATCAAACAAAACAGAGCTAGCTGCCTAGGAAAATGCACGATTGATTAAAACAAAAGGATGAGTCTGAGTAATTAAATTGAAAAAGTACCGGAAAACGGGATAAATCAAACCGGAATTCTCGTGGATCCAAAGGTCGGAATTGTCCGAAACCGAGACGGTCTTGCCGATGCTCACACCTTCGCTGATGGTCTCTTTTTCAAGAGAAGGTAAAGGAGGAGTTGATGGCCGAGCTTGGTGTATCTGAGACTGGTGAAGCGCCAGCGCGAACAGAGCTCCCGCTGCGTATTTATGCGTCGGCGTGAGAATCGGTGCTTCCATATTTGCTGACGGTTTTATTTTCAAACTCGCAGAGCATCGGAAACGCACAAGATTCAAATTTGCTGACCAAAAGGAGGGTTTCAATTTAACCGACCGATATATGATCATTCAGTACAGTAATAATAGCAGAGAATTTAATTAATTGTGTTGAAATTACACAAAGAAAGATTATCCACACAGGCAACAAGACCCCCTTCTTTCTTTATAGACTGTGTGACGAAAGATTATCCTATAATCCCATTAACTAATTCTCCCGCCTATTCCTCTTAACAACTAATTAACTACTGACATTTAACATTAATAACAAAAAATTAACAATCTGCTGTCTGTGCTCTCTCTCTGATGGTCTCAGGGAAGGGGGGAAGACTGAGAGCCTAAATCCTCAGACCTTTTCAACACTCCAACGAGACACCGAGTTTGCCGAACGGCCTTTTTTTTTCGCGGGACGCCCGGGAGATTGAGACTCCTGCGACCGACACGCGGCATAAATAAGTAATTTTGTCTGGGGCTTTTTTTTATTGGGCCTTTGGGCCGGTTCAAAATTAGGCCCAAAGAAATGGTGATCTTGAATTTGGGCCATTTGGGTCCGACCCAAGGCCGTTGAGGGTTTATACAGAAGAGAAGCACCGATAGGGTTTTATCACACCAGTTTCAGTCTCAGGGCACTTCACATCTTCGGCGAAGAAACAAAATGGGCAGAAAGAAGAAATTCATCGACAAGAAAAAGTCGGCGACCTTCCAATTACTCGCCCGAGACTCGTCTGATCCCAACTACGATGACTCACCCGGCAGCGACCGAGTCTTTATCCGAGTTGACAACAGCAGCTACCCCGTTGATGCCTTATTCCCTGAAGATAATCCTCACGACGCCTCCGGTGCCGGCGGATATGAAGACGATCCCAATTCGATATTCGCTGATGCGCCTGAGGATGACGGCGGTGGGCAGGACTATGATCAAGTTTCCGGATACTCGGCGGCGCCATCAGCACCTCAGCCATTGCCGGACCACGTTAGGAGGGAGATTCTGGAGCTAGGGTTTCCTGACGACGGTTACAACTACTTGCTACATATGAGGGAGATTAGGAGTACTTCTACAGTTTATCACAATTCCAAGGCTAAGCTCGATCAGCTTCCTCATGATGTAAAGGTTGGTGACGTATCGATTGCTTATGTTCTGTTTAGCTTGTGAGAAAGTTAAGGAAAGGGAAAATGAAAGAGAAAGAGAAAAAAATAGAAATTTTATGTCTGTTTCGTTTTGCAGCTATACCAAGTAAGTGGTGGATTATTATTAATTTTTAGTACTTAAAAAGAGTGTGTTGTGGGTTTCAGGCATATGATGCTTCAAGAGTGCGCATTTCTGAAAATGAGGCTCCGAATGAGAAGGTGATTTACAGTGTGGCTTCTAAGACGGTTAATGTAAGGGTTCAGAAAGCGGCTGATCCAGAAGTATCTGCATTGCTTGATGATAGTGATCTTTCACGGTTTGGTTCTGATATTGAGGACTTGGAAGAAGATTTCGTTGTTCAGGCTAACCTTGCGGCAGAAAAGGAGGAGGAGGAGGAGGATGTGTGTGTAGATAATGGGCCAAATATTGTTGAGCAATCCGAGAACAAAAATGTGAGAAATGAAACAAACGGAGTTGGAACAAATAGCATTGAGGGTGCAAAGGATAACTCTGTGGCTGAAAAGCCACGAGTTCATCGCCTCTTGGACGAGCAATTTGATTTAGTGAGTTATTTTCTTGCTATATTTAGTTATGTTCTGTAAACTTTATAGTTTTAGTCTCATGATGTAATTTTTGTTTCTTCAATTCTTCTTTTGTATCTCTGTTATCTCTTACCTTTTTGTTATTGTTATATTTATTAATATATAAAAAAACAGCTTGTGAGTCAGGAATATGCCAGTGATGACGACAATGATGATGATTATGGCTATGTAGCTGAAGAAGATGAGACCCTTGCAGAGAAGCTCAAACATGCCACCCTGAATGGCCATGTGAGGGATGACTTAGAACTGGACGGCGGTTATAAGGCCCCTGCAGATTTTCTGCGTGATAATGAGACAGTAAAAACGAAAGAGCTAGTGGACTCTGCTAGTGAGGTTATTCGGCGCTGTGCCGAGTATGCTGAGAAATACGAGAATGAAGTTAAAGATGCAGACTTGGTCATTGTGGAGGAATCTAGTGATGAATCAGAAGTGTGGGACTGTGAGACCATTGTTTCTACATATTCAAATCTTGATAACCACCCTGGGAAAATCGAAGCTCCAGGAGTAGCTAGAAGGAAGAAGCTTTCTGAAACTGTTTCTGGAGCCTTGGGTTCTGCCAATCATGTGATAACCCTTCGTGGGAAAGAGAGGCTGCCTGTGGACTTCTTGCCTCATAGTAAAAAACCTGCTACAGAGAAGGTGAAAGATATAGGTGCCTTGAAAACTGAGCAGCAGAAAAGGAAGCAACATGGTATGGAGTCAAAGGAGGAGAAGAAAGAGCGAAAGGTATACATGCGTTAGTCTGCTATTCTTTTTGCTTATCTTGAGGATGCCATTTGATCCAGCGTAGATTACCAATCTTTTATAACTAATGAAAGATTTACATGACACCTTATGATAGTTAAAATCCAGAAACTGCCATTTTAAGGCAAAACTGGAAGTAAATGACTTTGCATCCGCATAACTCAAAGCTACTGGTTTTGATACTTGATAAATTTGAGGAAATGTGCCTTGTTTTTTTCTTTTCTTATGTTGTTTTACTGGTAAGTTCTGTGGGTTCTTTTTTATTATTTGAAGTTTTGTGCATGCAGGCCGCTGTCAAGGAGGAAAGGCGTGAAGCACGCCGTACCAAGAAAGAAATAAAGGAACTTTACAAGGGTGAAGCACAGCATGCTCAGAGAGTAGCTGCTATATCTGGCCCTTCTTCTATTCATCTTATGTGATTGTGTTGATCAAGAAGTTGTATCTCTAGGTAATTGGAATTGCATCACTATTATTGCTTTAAATCAGGCTGTTTCTAGAAGTCTGCTTTATATTAATTAGTTTGTTTAGTGATTTTCTTATAGGTAAGACAGAGTACTAGATTAATAGTCAAGACAGTTGCATCGCTTGAGCCTGGACTTTTTGCAGCACAAACTAGTTACACATGCTGTAATCTACGACCAACGATGTTAAGTGAGGCGATGTATGCTCCATCCTGACTGCCTCAAGTTTTAGCAGCGTAGAATATAAGTTGTGATTGAGAAAATTTTGTGTTCGGAAAGGTTGGGTTCTGATGTTTTTGGCCGGTAATGGTAGATAGGAGGACATGCATTGAGTTCTTTACAGTCAAATGTGTAATGTAGCACCAGGTGAAGATTTGCTACAAAGCATGGATAATAATACTTTGTTTCTATAATTTACTACAAAGCATGTATAATGTATTTGTTTGTCTGGTTATTTTTGCTCCGTTCCGCCTACAATTTAGTTTTATTTTCTTGCTCTACTGATGATAGGTTGACTTGATTAACAGAAACATCAATAATTTCATTCAATTCAAAAGGTGAATACCAATGTGTCATCAATTATGCATTCATGATTTAGTACGACATTAGGAACAAAAGAATTTTTTTTATTAATCATACTTTGCAAAGAATAAACAATAAAGTGTGAAACGACTTTGTTTATTTGTATTCTGGACAAAACTTAATGATAGAAGAAACTTTGAAAGTGCAAAGAATATAATTCTCAGTGGGGAATAGGAGCCATGTCGCCTCTACCATAATAAGGTGTTGGATTCCAAATGCCGTAGTCTTGAAGAAGTATTTCCGACGTCTGTGGCTCATAGTGGTGTTCGTCCGCTCCCTGCTGTTGCACCTGCTCTTTCAGTTGTTGGAAAGCAAGAAATGATGGTGATGGGGCCGCGGTTGCTCTTGTGGGCATAATTATCATAAAGGACATGATGTTAGAAGTTGTCATATGTTGAATTTGTCTATGTTAATTATGTTGTCTAGTAGTCAATTAATGTGGCTAGTAATAGTCAATTAATGTTTGGCACCTACTATGTTTGGCACCTACAATATTTGGGGGGCTTGACTAGTTTGGTTGCCTAATTAGTTTGGTTGCCTAACTTGGTTGGTTGCCTAACTTGGTTGGTTGCCTAACTTGGGGGGCTTGACTAATGTCTTAGGAACTTGTATATATATGTGTTGATTGTAAGTAATGAACATAAGTGAAAATCAGAAAATATTCAACAACTCTCATTCTCTCTACTCTTTCCACTTTCTTCTCTCAATATTCTCTATGTTTTGACACATGATCATCATGCATAACATGTGCTTTGCTGAGCTTCCTGTTCCTGCTACTGTTCCCATGTGATTTTAGGCTAGCTGCAAATCCAACCCCTAAAAACTCTATGCTGCAGTGCAGGTTATGGTTTTTGAATTTCCAACTCTCGAACTCAAAGATGCATATGGCAACCGTCAGCAACAAATCCTAAAATATGTGAAAGTATGGTTGTGTTTGAACAAAATTGGTTCTTTATTTCTCACACCCGATGGATGACTTACCATGCTTCTTGCATGCATGTAGTGCTTTAAACAGAATGGAAAGCCTAATAAGTTGGCCGATTTCCTTTCTTTACTAAGACCATATATGTGTATGTAATGTATATGGCACAGGATTTTCTCTCTTCCAAGTCATCATTGCCCTTTTGCCCGCATATTTGAAATATGTGATGTACCTTTCATTCCGTCATCAATGGGAACAAGACTTTTAAGTGAATTTAAAGAAAAGTTGATTGGTACAAGGTCCAGTCTTCTCAGACCGAAATTTTTTTTAAGAGATTTGTCCCCAAGATCACGGCTCGTGTAGTTGACCTCACTTCTTGGTTAAACCTACAGAAACGATGGATAAAGATGAACAAAGTAATGATCAGCATATTTATTGTTGTTTCAATATATAATAATCAATCCTTTTAGTCAGACAGGTAAAAAGTTTCTTTATTTCCATCAATATTATTAGTTAACAATCAATGATAAACAGGGCAGCAACGTGTAAAAAGAAGAAAAATAGCATCGTGCAACAAAATGCCACCTCCGACAGAACTCAAAGTACAAGAACAAATATCGATCATTATGCAATTAAAGAGCCTCCCAAAAGACGAAAGAATACAAGAAACACCCCTCTCTTTCTATACAGAGGAGAGGACAGTGAACCGTACCGAACCATACAACATCTGAGTGTTGGAAAAGAGAAGCAACGTTATACAGAGATGATATGGCAGAGAGACATCAGAAACACCGATGGGGAACAATGTATTATACAAGGGCATAATGCCCGCAGAACACATTCATGATCTATATATTTCACACTGAACAACTACGATTATGAAGAAGGAATTATACAGAATACACAAAAATAAAGTCTATAGCTATGGGTCACTATGGGATTGCAATGTGAAGCACTTGCACTTGTCTTTCATGGCTTCAGCCTCACTTCCATATTCTCTGAATTTGTACTCTTCCTGCTTATGGGCAGGAGGCACCTTTCCCTCGCTGTAGCATTGATTACACAAACTGAAATGAGATTTTATCTCCTTAAAACGGGACCCAATAATCGGATAGCGGCAGACCGAGCAGACACGGTTGCCGTGGCGGTTCCTGTCCCCAGTTTCAAGCTTCAACAACGTGGACATGATACCAAAACCCCAATCTGTGTCATCAAACATGACTAGAAACTCTGTGAAAGACATCATGGAAAGATCTTCTCCATGGAGTTCCAGTATCTCACTAACCCCATGGGAAGGAACATATATGGCTCTCAACAGTTTGATATATTTTGTGGCATCGGCTTTTCTTATCTGAGCACCACCACCTTCGTTCACAGGACGCCACAAGAGCGCATCAAATGCAACTCGTTTGCGCTTTTCAGGCGGACCACTGCAAATAGGAGCCAGAACAGCAAAAAACATGCCCAAGTCCACTCTGCCTGAGCCCGTATCATCAAAGACAGTGAGTATCCTCTCGTTTATGGCTTTAACAGCTCCTTGAAAAGTCTCCGGTTTTAGGAAATCAAGTAACCTGCGGAGAATTTCTTCCAAGTTAGGCTTGCGTATGGATCTCTGAGGAACACCAGTACCAGAGTACGAAACAGGTACTTCACCATCATTCATTTCCTTCTTAAGCAACTCCACATCACAACGACTCAACCTGGTAATCCTCTGAAAGGCCCTAATCTCAAGTGCATTGGCCAAGTCTTGCCTCAATGTAGTTCTCTCCCCAACCGTCTTAAATTTTGTAGGTTCCACAATGACAAAAGAACCCTCCCCATTGGCACCCCCATTCCCCTTCACCTTCTTCTTCTGCAGCTGCTTCAAATGTGCAATGGCATCATGCAATTCAACCCTGTTGGTCATTTTCAATGCTTCCTTCAAAGCCTTCTTCGCTTCCTCAGTTTCCCGAGCTCCTAACAAGGACACAGCCTTGTTAAGCTGAGCACGCCAATGGTTGGGCCACACAGCTAAAACCCTAGTATACATCTCAGAAGCTCTCGGAAATCTACCCGCGTCCATATAAAGCCCACCCAAATTGTACAAAGCATCTACATGACCAGGTTTCAAATCAATGGCTTTCTGAAAAATCACAATTGCCTTATCATCGTCACCCATGGCATGCAAAGCCGAAGCCAAATCACAATGCGCATCGGCATAGTCCGGTTTCATAAAAATGGCCTCCTCCAAGGCCTTGACAGCCGCTCTATATTCCCCAACCCCAAAAAGAGCACTACCCAAAAGTTTCAAAGCTCTAAAATGAGTTGGACAAAGAATTGCAGCTTCTCTATAATACTCACAAGCACTTAAAACCATACCTTCACCTTCAAGCGCAATCCCGAGATTCACATAAATCTGTGGAAGCAAATAAGCCCACTGGTTCCCACCGGCCTCCGCTGCCTCGAGCGCCAACAAAAACTCATCTTTAGCCTCTTTGTATCTGCCAAGAACATACAAGCAGTTCCCAGCTCTGAAATGTGGCCTCACATCCACAGGTTGCAACTCACAAGCCCTCTTGAAACTCACCAACGCCTCTTTGAACAACTGGTGCTCATACAGAACCCTCCCAATCGCCATGTGACCATCGAAGGCCTGCTCACGTGACCTTGCTCCGTCTGCTCGGCTCCTTAACACCCCCAATTCTTTAACGAACGCAGCATACTCGTGCCCAGACTCTTCCCAAAATACCCTTTTATCCGAAATCTCTGAAGAAGGTCCCAATTCTCTAGACCACCCGGCGTCGGAAAAAGCATCGATATTGTCGGCTTTCAATTTCCCATCTTTGGCTTGCTTCGCCTTCAACCTCTTCACCAAAATCTCTAAATCGTCGACAATCTTCCACGTGTCGTCGAACACGATCCCGTGGTTGGGTGACACCGCCCAGGCCGCCGTTCTCTGCTTCTTTTGCGACTCAACGAGGCGTTCGTCGACTATCGAGGACGACGAGGCCTCGGAGGCCATGGAAGCTTTGGTCTCGTCCAAGGTGAGCTCCAAACCGAGCGCGTCGAAGTCACGGTCCACGTCACCTGCACCGTCGTCATAGGTCCGCAAGAGGCCCTCATAGGTGAGGCCTTTCTCGCCGTCGATGAAGTCACCGTAGGTCCGGAAGACCTCGTCGAGAATGGCATTGATCTGCTCGTCGCTGAACTTGACCCTAGGGTTTACCGCCACAACGAGCGCGGCCATTTCGTCTCTGTTGAGACCTCCGTCATGGTTTTCATCGAATTGGTGGAAAATCCTCTTGACCTTCTCTGATCTGCTCCCTCTCGTTGTCATTATACCCTTGTCCCAAATTTTAATTTCAGCTTTTAACTTTGTAGGGTTTGAAAAGAAGAAGAAGAAGAAGAAGAAGATGAGTGATACAGGTGTAAATTAATGTAAAGGTAATTGGTATAAATGGAAAGTGAGTGAGGGACCAAAAAGAGAAGGTAGAAGGGAGGGGGCTTAGCTAAAAAAATAAATTAATCTGGGGTTTGAATCCTTAATGAGACTATAAATGATGTTATGTGATTAATGAGATGAGGGGGCTTCTTCTTGTTCTCATTTCATTTTCATTTTCATTTGGGTTGGGTGGGGGGGTGGGGGTACCAACTGTTTTCCTGTTGGTTTTCATTGGATCTGAGCCATCGGGCTGGATAAGCCAAAAGTGAAACCAGGGAAAAGAAAAAATAGAAGAGAGAGAGAGACGAGACGACCATTGTTTTTTTTTTTAATTTTATTTTTATTAACTGGTTCTCACTCCTTGCTTGCTTCTCATGAATGAATGATGAATGATGATGATGGGTGGTGGTGGGCCACGTGGCCCTAGTGGGGCTATTTTTTAAATTTCTTTTTTGTTTAAAGTATATACATTTGTATTTTGTTGGCACTTAGGCTTAGGTATCGCCAGCTTTACATAAAGAAGAAAGATTGTTGTCCAGCTGGCTCGGCGATTGATCAGTGTGCCCTAGATAGAGGTGGCCATTTGTATACTTAGCCGGATCGTGCTGGTGTTGTTCTATTTTTGCGTTTGCTTCGTGTCACTTTGTGCATGTGTTGAATATTATTCAATTTCTAGACTGCCATCTTTTTAGTTATACGATGGTACTAACTCAATCCATTGTTAATTAATCTGGAATATTATTAGAGCACTTCCAGCAGCCCCCTAGGCAAGGGCTGGGGGGGTAAAACTCCAAAACCCATTTCCAGCAGCAAAGTCCAGCCCGGGCAACTACTGGGGTCCACCTGCCTGGGCAGGCCCGAAGGCTGCTGACGTCATCTGCCATAGTGATGCTACAGTGCCGCCAACAGCACTCTGACAAGTGTCGCGTTCTGAGCTCTCCGATCAGAATTTTTCCTCCAATCCAACGGCAGCCAATTTTTGTGCAATAAAAAAATGAAAAAAAATCGAATTTTTTTTTTAAAAATACCCAAAAATTCGGTAATTTTTTTCTATACCCAAAAAATCAAAATTTTGTTAAAAAAAAATACCCAAAACTCTTCACTTTCAACACCAAATCCTCATACATTTTCTTCTACTTGTACTATTATTCACTTTTACTCAAGTATTGACAAGTACGAACCCAAAAATTTTATCCGAAAATATTGTCCAAATGAATTGTTTAGGTAAACAAATTTGTGAAAAAAACAAAACATTGAATAGTACTTGCCCTTTGCCCGGGCAACTGCTGGAAGTGCAACTTACTTTTTGCAAGGGCAGACACTATTCATATGAATAGTGTCAGCCTTAGCCCCCCCCTTGCCATGGCAAGGGTTTGACTGCTGGAAGTGCCCTTAGTGGCCATATATTTTGAATTAAAGCTATAATTTATTTTTTTAATTAAAAAGTTTAAGATTTCTTATTCTAAGCCAACCCAATCAATTATGCATTACTTAATAAAACACATTTGATCATAATACTAACAAAACTATAAATTGTTACTTGATGCAATTTTGAGCTTTTGTTTGATGATTTTTGAGCCTTGCTTGATAATTTTTTGTCATGGTTTTAGAAAAGTCAATTTTGTAGCATATAGATTAACTCCTTATATTATCTATTGATGTAATTGTAGTTCTCACAATATCATAATTCTCCGGATATTATTTAGGATGCTATGTCAATGGGTACTTTGTAATTTTACTTTTCTCTATATTGAGGCCCAAAAAATCCAAGGCTGGAGTCAAATATATTTCTAGCCCAGTAAGACACCTAACTTGGGAAAAAATCCAACTTGGATACGCAAGAGTTCGTCATATGCGCTTGCACACGTGCCACGCCAAGCAAATAAGCAACATGTCACGCTACAAGATTAAGTGGGCCCAAGCCACGCGAATGCCTGGGGCTTACTGAGCGGGTTGTGGTATGGATGGTTACGAGTATTCACGAGGCTCATTGATGGTCAAAGGAGTGGAAGTTTTGGACTGTTTGGGAGCACCAAAACTCAAACCCATTCCTTGAGCCCAAACATATGGGTAAGCATGAGAGAGAAAACTCTATAGTCCATCACCTTAAGAAAAGGCCCACAACACTTGGAAAACCCCCACATCAGCCAAAACATCCAGCACCTTGTCAAAAAAACAAAGCAAATAGGCTGCTTCAAGTAGCTTGACGAAATCAAAGCAAACTCACAAGCTGCTGGAAATAAAATAGCTCAGCCCAGCACCTTATAAAATATCCAACATCGTGGAAATATTCAGCATCTTTGTTAAAACCATATCGAAGCCAAACCATCAAAACTAAGCAAACCCATGTGCTAATAGAAGTAAATCACCTTTTGACCAGCACCTTTACCCATTCTTTCCTCTGCAAGCTCTGGTAGGAATACAAGAAGGAAAGTAAGAGGCGCCTCACCCAGATGGAGGAGTCCAACCGCAGGAAAGTCTTGGAACCCCAAAAAGCTCTGCTCCTATGTGCTTTGGTTTGGGAGATTTCACCAAAGAGGATTGAATGGAAGAAAGTGAAGAAAAATGGAGGAGAAGACTTAATAAAATTGGGGGCTTCCAGTGCCTATAAAAGAAGGCACCTTCTACCCAGCAAAACAACTCATCGAAGTCAAGCATCCCCTTTGGAATCCTAAAATTTCGTGCTATGTTCTTCCATCTTCTTCCTCTCTCTCCCACAACTCTTCCAGAGCGAGCAAGCATTCTCATTCTCTACTGGAAGCTTCAATTTCATCTATATTATTCCATTTTCTTCCCCTCTCTTCCATAAACACATCTAGATAGAGCAAGTATCATCTCTTACCTCTGGAACCCTTCGATTCCAAGTTTTGTTCTTCCATTGCTTCACCTTTTCTCTTCTGGCAAAATATTCCAGAGCCTGACAAAGCTTTCGTCAAGCTGCCGGAAACTTGCTCAAGCCACCTATTCATCTTCGTCATCTCTTCCTCTCTCCCCTCAATAAATTATCTCGAAATTCCTTCTCCCATTACTTTGATTGTTTCTCATAGGACATCCAAGCTCTCTCTCCCATTCTCTCTCATGCTAAACTCACGAATGCTTAGCTCTCATGCCACGAGCTTCTTATGCCAAGCCTAAATATTTATCTGTAAGCAACTGTTAGTTTTGTTGGTGAAGGAAGTCAATGTGTTTCCTAAGGCTCCACGAACCTGTCGAAGCACTCTTAGGGCCTGATTTTTGAACTCAGACACAGGGGCAATTCCACCTATTCGCTCTTTACAGCAGCCCAGGGCCATCCGTAGCTGCCGGAACGAAAAAGCCCTCACACTCTAAAATACCCCTTATTATAAATAACAAAGGCAAAACTATAAAATTTGAACCTATGATTCAATGATTTATACAATTTCTTTATTAAAAAAAAAACCAAAGAAAAACAAATATTATTTAAATACAAACGATAATCTAAACTATAAGGGGGAGGGATGATTTTACACACATTACTAAGGTGTCATGGTGGTTTAAACCTGAAACCACTAGTCTGTAAGTCAAAACCATTTTCCAATGATTTAAACCCTGTTGGTAGATATTATAATTAAACGACTTTTTCATACCAAGTTTGAAATATTTATGTTTAACACTAATGACTAACTTAATTTGTCTATTATATGTGATACTCCTTGTGCCATATTCATCATGTCAAGAAATGATCAAACTTGAATCCTCATAATGTCGTATAAAAAAATACAATATTTGAGTCACGATCGGTAAGAATATTGTCATATTCGCATTAATTCTATAGTGGGGCCTGATTTAAGGGCATAGGTCATCTAAAAACTCACTTATCGATTTAATCAATTCGAACATTTTTAATTTAATTTTCTTTCTTTAATTTCATGGCTCCGCCATTGCTATGAGAAGTGTTACAGGATAATCTTTCTTTAATTTCATGATTCTAATAAATTATTGAATTTATATCACATAAAGCATAGCCAAAATAACAACAAGAAGAAGCAAACCAAATCAAGGGGAACTTGTATATTTGGAAAATAAAAGTAAAAAGATACGATCTTTTAAACGACTTAGATATAAAAGGCACAAATTTTCTAGTTTAGAAGCTAGTATATACCTACTTTTGGACAAATTGGGAGCATGGTAGTGCATTTCCCATCTATTGTTACTCATCTAACATAGGTCCCATGGTGGCTATGGCACGCGACGAAGTTTTGAAGAAGGATTTTATATTTGGTCGAATAGATTTGGGGATTTTGCAACACAATCTGTCGACGATAACTAGTTGGCCTCAATTGCAGGCCTGAAATCATCATTTCCGATCCTTCAATGTATATTCCAATATATTTAAATAGTATAGCCTATACTCTTTTAAACATCCAATGGTGAGGATATAAAGAAGGGTTTTTAGTTTTTATTTTTATTTTTTGGGTGAAATGAATATTTAGATGGTGAAAATTAAAAATAATACAAAAATACTATTTTGCCCTTGCATTTAACAGAAAATATAACAAAAGTGACGGCATAACCATTTGTCCTTACGGAAGTGAAGTTGAAGGACCACAAGAACGATTTGGGAAATTAAGGGACCAAAATGCGAATCGGGTCAAAGAGTTGGGACCATTAGAGCATCCACAATCATGTTCCTTATTTTTTTGGTTAAAATTTAGCTAAAAACACTTTAGAAAACTATTTTAGGAGCTCCTTATAAAATTTCAACTCCAACCATGCTCTTTAATTTAGGGAATCATAAATGATTTATTTCTTTTTTTGGTTTAGCATAAATGCTCCCTCTTCATATAAAATAATAATAAAAAATAGTTAGCATGAAGTAAATATTTAAAATAGCTTTAAAGTAAAGTAGCATTTAATTATAGGGAACCACCAGGAGTCTTTTCTCTCTCCTTAGATTTAGGAGCTCCTAAAGGTCTCCCTATTTTAGAAGTTGGATAGGAAGCATAATTGAAGGTGGGTTTTCTCACTTCCTCTCTAAATTTTATGTAAGACAGTAGTTAAGGAATCCATTATGGATGCTCCTAAACCTAAAAACTCTTGCACCTATCTATTGGTGGTGAATCGGGCTCGGTCGTAGCCCAATTACGTGATCCATTTAGTCGTCCAACATTATAAGCCTGGCTATAAACCCACAACAAGAGGCCCGTCTACGAAAGATGAGGAATATTTATTTATTTTATTTTATTTTTACTTGGCTAACGGTAACATATACAGTCAACAAAAAGTCTGTGACAGCGAAGCTCTAATCTGTCGGGGGCGTTAATTGCAGCAAGTTGAAGGTCAAAATAGTAAGCTGGACTTCGTTTTTAAGACATATTTGTTAGATTTTGGCGGTTGTATACCAGAGGTAGGAAGTAATCCAAGTAAGAGCGAGAGAGAGGGAGGCAACGGTTTTGCGCCGTTGCTTTTCCTTCTCTCTTGGCTTCATTTCCACAAGGCCAGAACCCTCTGGTTTTACGGTTCGGCCAAAATAACTCCGATATTCGAATTTGAGTTTCCGCTCAATTATCCCCGACGTTTTGGCCGTTCCGTCTTCCGTTTCTTTGATATAGAATTTGTTTTTGTTGTCTAATTTGCCTTGAATTTCCGTGTTGTTGTTGCTGCTGCTGTACTTAGTTGGCATTGTGTCTTTGACTTGGACTGCGAGCTGCACACGGTGAGACAATCTGCAGATTTCTAAAGTTTTGTGGAATTTTCTGTGATTTTATTACCCTTTCGAAATTGAAGCTCGAATCTTTTTATTGCTCTTATTGTTTCGTACAGGACATTGATTGTTAGAAATGGAAGCCTTTTGGAGCTGAAAAGACGGCAATATATGATACGATTCGAATAATAATTTGAAAATTCATTTTCTAAATTCATTCAACCTGCATTTGGGAGACTTCAGACAGAAATTCGAATGGCGGTCCACCTTGGGAACGATGTAGAAATTCATCAGTGAACGCTCCCGTTTTCAAATGCGTTGACGTTTGTCCTAGGCACTCTGTGAGAGAGAAAAATTGGAGGACTTTGAAGTTTCTGTGGTTATTATTATTATTATTTTTCCGTTCGCAAAGATACCTGGGTTTTGTTGTTAGCAGAAGGGAAATTTGAGAGGCGATGGCTCTGGAGCAGCAGCCTATGAAGGAAGAGAAAATTCTTGTTTCGGTTAGGTTGAGACCATTGAATCAAAAGGAAAAGACCAAGAACGATGTTTCAGATTGGTGCGTCAAAAATAACACCGTCATGTACAACAGTAGCCACCCTGATCGCCCCATGTCTCCCTCTGCTTATTCTTTTGGTAAAGAATTGAAATTTCATATTCTTCTGGTTAAGAATTGAAATTTTCTTTTGGTACCATGTGCATTTTTTGAAGTGATTTTTCTTAATATTTGAAGACCCTGAACGCTGTTTTCATGTCCTTTTCTGGTCAATGTATTGGGGATAGACAGAGTATTTGGATGGGAATGTCCCACTAGGAAGGTGTATGATGAGGGAGCTAAAGAGGTTGCTCTTTCAGCCATCAACGGCATCAACTGTGAGCAATCTTCTAATCCTTGTTTTCTAATATTTAGATTGTAATAAGAATCTTAGTTTACTGAAACATATACATATTATGTCCAGCCACCATTTTTGCCTATGGACAAACAAGCAGTGGAAAAACATACACTATGAAGGGGATTACAGATTATGCAATTACGGATATATATGATTACATTGAGCAAGTAAGTGATAATATCTAGAATCTTCAATTGCAATTTATATCAAGTTGACTGTTTTTTCTGACCCTGGCATAATTTGAATCTTTATTGTGTTTCAGCATAGTGATAAGGAGTTTGTGTTGAAGTTCTCTGCCATGGAGATCTATAATGAAGCTGTCAAAGACCTCCTCAGCTCTGACAGTGGTCCACTTAGGCTACTAGACGACCCAGAGGTGAATAATGTATTCCTTTCATAATCAGCGTGCATGCGCTCACACACAGACACATGTTCATATAAAACATAATTCAGATGACTGATCAGAAGTTTCTCTAATAATGCTACTCCAATAGAAAGGGACTGTTATCGAGAAACTTTCAGAGGAGATTTTGAGAGACCAGAACCACCTGCAGGAACTTCTTTCCATCTGCGAAGGTAAAGGCATTTGCGTTAGTTTTGTCTCACAGGATTATACGGAACTTATGTTAGTTCTATTTTCATTAGATGGAAAGTATATTCTTAAATGTGGTACTTAATTCTTGCAGCTCAAAGGAAGATAGGAGAGACCTCTTTGAATGAAACTAGCTCCAGATCTCATCAGATTTTGCGACTGGTATGCTTTTCACTAAAACAGTTGCTTTCTTATTTGACATGAGAACTTGTTTGTAATTTCTTCTTTTATTGAATAATGGATCCAACAGACAATTGAAAGTTCTGCTCGAGAATATCTAGGCATTGAAAGTTCAAGCACACTAGCAGCTACTGTGGTATGGAAGTACTTACTTGCCTTAGCGAAGAAAATTTCCTTCACAAGGATATAATAGAATGGTATTATTAGGAATAAGAAATGAGACTCTTTGTGCAGAATTTTGTTGATCTTGCGGGCAGCGAGCGTGTTTCTCAGGCATTATCAGCTGGTGCAAGATTGAAAGAAGGTTGCCACATAAATCGAAGTTTACTGACCCTGGGAGGTGTAATTCGCAAATTAAGGTTCAATAGTTTTTCCATATACCCCAGAGAAGGGCTTATTGTATAAATGTACACTCAGCTTCATGTCTATATATCTAGCAACTTGTTTTCTTTGGGGTGCTTTGTATAGCGTATTGAAACTTCTCTTTTGTTATCTAACCTTATTTAACTACTTTCTGTTTCCTTAATCAATTTGATGTCATCAATGGATACAGCAAGGGAAGAAATGGACACGTACCTTACAGAGACTCTAAACTAACACGCATACTACAAAATTCTTTGGGAGGCAATGCCAGGACAGCCATCATTTGCACTATGAGTCCTGCACGAAGTCATGTTGAGCAATCAAAAAACACCCTGTTCTTTGCAAGTTGTGCAAAAGAGGTGAGTACTAATGCAAAGGTCAATGTAGTAACATCAGATAAGGCCTTAGTAAAGCAATTGCAGAAAGAACTAGCAAAAATGGAAGGTGCATTGACGAGCTTAACATCAAAGTCAATGCAAGAGAAAGAACTTCTGCTTGAACAGGTGATGAGACTTCTATGACTCATATATACACAATTTTGCTAACTTATACAGAAAAAGACAAAGAATATTTTCTGATAGAGATTTATATCCTGAGGGATGAATTTACTGTTGTATTATACTTTATTGGATTTAGGTCGGAGATCTTGTTTCCCAGGATTTTCTGGAATCATCTATTTCAGTCAGATTTGTTTTCACATGCCATCTTTTTAAATGTGATTTTATGCAGATGGATAAAGAGATAAAAGAATTGACCCGTCAACGTGATCTTGCCCAATCTCGGGTTCAGAATTTGTTACAATCAGTTGGAGAGGGCCGAGCTCCAAGAATAGGTGAAAATTCAGGATCGGAGGAGTCATTAGACATGGGTGTAAAGGCATACAAATCATCTGATATTACTGATAGACCTAGCTTACCTAATTCCAGCAAGCACAACCGGCAGCTTTCTGAGAGTTCTGATGAATTCTTTCTGCTGGACAGTAGTACTCCACAGTTTGATGGGCTTGATCCATGCCAGGGTTGGGAGGATATTGCACAAAAATCTCTTGCAGAGTCTGAACATTTTGCACAAACTTCTCATACAGAACCTAAAGATATTACACAAAGATGTCATGCAGACCCTGAAGATATTGCGCAAAGATGTCACGCAGAATCTGAAGATATTGCACAAAGATGTCACGCAGAATCTGAAGATATTGCACAAAGATGTCGTGCAGAAGCATCTAGTACGGAATCTGAAGCTAGCTGCAAGGAAATTAGATGCATATCAAGCATGGACCAGAACACTTTTGATTCGTTTTTACCTGGTTCTGAAGTTCTCATGCATGAAGATGTGCCTTCATCCTCACAGACAATACCCATGCAGGAAGTTGCAGCTTCATCCTCACAGACGGGAGATAAGGAGCTGAATCATGTTAATGCAGAGTATGAAGCGATGCGGCTAAAAATTCAGGAACTGCAAAGGACAATTAACAACCTTGTCACTCTTGCCCCCATAGGACAATCTCCTTCTTCCTCTGAATCTAGCTCTATAAGCTTGGGTATGTCCAGAAGTCGAAGTTGCAGGGCAGTTGTCATGAGTCCATCTTCTTTTGCATCTAATGAGGCAGAACAAAACGAGAACGCAACACTTGCTGAAGGCTTTCCACGGTGGCCCTCCAGATCAAGGCAAGGTGCCCACAGTAGAAATTTATCCAGGGAAGATTTTCCAACTTCTGGTCTGAGTGGTCCCTTGGACACAGATGGCAGTGGCACCAGAGATCATCCTGACGCAGAGGCTATTATAAAGCAGGACTTTCCTAACAAAAAGCCAAAAGTCCATCGGGGGGATACTTCTCGATCCAAGTATGGTGGCCACAGTGGAAAGTTACCCAGAAAAGATTCTGATCAAGATTCTCTGTTGAGTGTTCACATGGAGACAGAGGAAAGCAGGGAGTCAACTGGTGCAGAGGGCATTGTTGAAGACTTGCCTAGAAGTTCAAGAGGCTTGAGGTGGAAGCTATTTCATAAATCAAAGCAAACTTCCGAAGTAGGTAACTCATCCAGAGCGAGTTCTCAGTTAGCTTCTGTTTTGAGTGCTCCAGTGGCCTGGAAAGTTATCCCCAACGTTTCAGAGTCTGATATAGAGGATAACGTTAGTGTTCTCAATTTTGATGAGGAACAAAATGAAGACAAGTACGAGGTAATAATCTCCCTCTTTCTCTCTCATTCTATCTCCCAGAGACACGAACTTTTGTCATGGGTAGTTATTGGTGACAGGTACAAAGAGGAGCAGCATGGAGGAGGCATGGTCGTATGGATACAAGGCATTGTGCTTTGAGAACCCATTCCAATTGGCGCCTTGATTTTGAGACACAGAGGGGACTAATAATTGAACTCTGGGATGCTTGCTTTGTGCCATTGGTTCACAGAGCCCATTTCTTCCTCCTTTACAAAGGTGATCCCTCTGACTTTCTCTACTTGGAGGTAGAGCTCAGAAGGTTGACCATTCTCAAGGACACTTTCTCCGAGGGAAGCAATCTTAAAGTTCGTCAAGCTCTCACACCAGCTGCAAGGTAGTGTTTCGGATTGCAACAACACACAAACACACAAGGGACATGCATGGCAACACAACATGCACCACATTTGTAATTTTCATATTTTCAGCCTAACCATTTTCAGCGGGAAATATGAATCTTAAAAAATGGATTTTCAAACTCGGTTAAAAAAAAAATCCAAGTTTTTGAATTCCCCACTTGAATAAGATATTAAACGCCACCTAACTTATTTTGGTTTTCTTCATTTTCAATGGGAAACAAACAGTATGAAGGTTCTTAAGCGGGAGAGAGAAATGCTGAGTAAGAAAGTGCACAAGAGGTTCACATCAAAGAAGGAAAAAGAAAGGCTCTACCAGAAGTGGGGCATTAGGCTGAACACAAAGCAGAGGAGCCTGCAGTTAGCGAACTTGCTATGGACGAGCACAATGGACATAGGCCATATAAGGGAGAGTGCAGCCCTTGTGGCAAAGTTGGTGGGGCTTGTTGAGCCACTTGAGGCTCCCAAGGAGATTCTTGGACTCAGCTTCTTATCCCGACCCATAAACAAGAAATCCTCCATCTGGAGAGACTCCATGTCTACTCTATAGAATTTGCGAGTGTTCCAGTTAGACAAGGTGACCGTAGAAACCATTTTTTGTACATACAATTGTGCCCCACTTCAGCTCAGCGCAGCTCGAATGGAGATACTCCATTGTAAACTAAACGGCAGTCTGCAATTTTACCATAATTCTTTGATACCTTTCCATTGTTAACGCCTTTTGCGCAATGTAAGTTGGAGGAAAAAAAAAATTAAAAACTAGTGATCATTTACTATATAATTCTCATAAAATTTTTGTTTAAAAAATATTCATCCACTATGAGTGCGGGCATAATACAAGTAAAGGCAGGAAAAAGAAAAAAAAAAGATGGCATTTACACGAGTATCTTCATATTTTACATAATTTGTTTATGATTGGAGGACAGCTCCTTCACTGATTTTCCATCCTGAGCTCGAACAAGACATCTCATATCTGGTGGTGTACGTTCTGTTGTTTGAGGCATTGTGCTCTGGATGGAGGACATCAGTTAACTGGGCCAACTCTTCCAGAGTTGCTTCCACCACAGCACGCTGCCCATCTAGCGATACAGTCACACTGTCAATGCTCAAGTTCAACAGGGTGTAGTCATAGGACCAATTAAGCTGTGCAATCTCAGTCGCGCGATCTGTCCATATCTTCAACATCTCACCGTCCAAAACCTGGCAGTTTTTGCAATGTCAGGACAAGCATTATGGCTGGTAACAAGCTCGATGATATGGTTTTTCATCCACAAAACTACCGAATTTCTTACCTCAGACAGGCTTTCCACAGAATGATTAGGCCCGAAAGCCTGAGATTTTATGTTCTGCCATTTGCGAACTAGACCTTCTGCAATTCTTGCATCCATTTTGGGTAATTCCTCTGCAGATTTCTCAACACCTGGTAGCCCTGCATGGTCATATGCATTAATTTTCCATCTCAATCATGCATTAGCTGTAAAAATGTATGCTTATGCTGTGAAATGGATTGACCCAAAGGAAATCAGAAATATGTCAGTACTGCTAGCTATCAGAAGATTCATAAAAGCTCTTTAACAAAAGCTGGTGAAAAATTACAAGGGACTTTTTCGATCGAGTGAAATAACATGTTTCATCAAAATCAAACATGTGGAAGTAGAAAAAGCCAAGAGACCAAAAATATCAATGTTTCAGACCTTCGTAGGTGGAAAGAAGGCTTTGTTAGTTGTTTTATAAATAGTCTAATGCATGGTTAAAATCATACCTGCACTTGCAACATCAGATGCAGTCACTGAACTAAGTTCTTTGTGCAGATTGGATGAACCCTTCCTAGCAGGTAAATACCTTAATCCAGCTAACGTCATTAGTCCAATTACCACACCAGCGCACATAATCTTCACACTCGCATCTTTGATTTTGTCAGTAATCAATTCTTCTTCACGTATTCCAACAGAATCATCTCTTCCAGAAACCTCAGCTACATGGACAGAATCATCTCCATCAGATTCTTCCAGAGACTCTCCAGTTTCTACAGGGAGAAGAGAATAATTCATCTCATGATCATCTTGACGTTGCACATTCTCATCCCTGTAACCCAGAGGAAACACCTTCTGCAATGCCTGAAGTGCACTGGCCTTGAAATTATCAAGAACTGCCGTAGCCTCAGCTCCAATCCTCACTATGGCTGCAGCAGCAGCTAAGGGTGAACCATTAGTGCCATCCAGCCTTTCTAAGTATCTCAAGACTGTAGGATCATCATAGTAGTCTCCCAGTCGGAACTCTATGTCTTTGGTGTCTCTAAACCTGGGGAATACCACCTCCATCAACCACGTCTCCAATAGCTTGCAAAGTCCAGGAAGATCATTGTCATTGTCATCGTCATCCTTTGAGTTCTCCAAGACAAAGTCTACAACACATGGATTTCTATATGGTGAATCATTACTGTCTAGGCCCAACCATGAACGACTGTCATCAAGGTCCCCTAGAAGAAGTGAACAGAGTCCCCTCTCCAAAGCAAAGTCTATCTCACTGTTTTCTTTGGTTATATAGTTGTCGAGAGAATGTCCCACAGCTGTTACTTTAGACTGCTGAAGTTTCTGGAATAGGTTATCAGCATCTTGAATGTGATGAGGTTTTTTACCAACAAAGGCTTGAGCAACAAGCGCAAGAGCCACCCCATAAACTTCAAAGCTTTCTGCTGGGATATTACTGGGGGTAGCTACAAATAAATCAACCTTTTAAGAGAGAAAAAACACAGAAAAAAAGTTAGAAAGAGAAAAGAGATTAGATGATTGAGCATATAAGAATTGACAGTAATAAGGGAGCTACCTGCTCAGCTGCAGTCATATGCAAGAAGGCCTCGTTCATGAAATTTTCACGAGTGAATCCCCCAGCAATTGCAACTGCTCCTCCTCCTCCAACAGACCACAATATGTTGCGCACACCGTGGAGGCCCTCTTCCCTTCTTGATCGGTACTCATCACCAAGGGGTAAGGCTAGAAGTTCCAAAATGCAGCGTGGGGTGATCTCTTCCAGTGTCTCGTCAATTTGTGCTTGAAGATCAGGTGCAAGGCTACTGGCACCTTCCTCCTACGTGTAGAAGATCAGTCTTAATGAAGCACGAAAGGATGTAATGCAACTGAAACAATTATCATCTTATGCATCTTAACCTCATCGTGCATAAAAAGCCACTTAGTAATAGGTACAAAAAATTAAGAACTTAGAGAACTTGCTGATGAAGAAATTACCTGCAAGAGCTTCAAAGCCCTCTCCAGCACTTCACAACCTCGAATAAAATCAGGTGGGGTTAATTCCATTGCATCCCTGGACATGTCAACGTAAGCAAGTGCCATCACCAAAACGACATCTTGCTTGAATGACTTGGGCAGCCTCTCCCTTAGCAAACTCTCCCCAATTTGAAGAACAAGCTCAGTCTTTCCAGCTTCTTGCAACACACACAGAGCTCCGGGAACCTACAAATAGCTCAACATGAGTGAATACCACATTTTTCTGTTTGTTTACTTAGAAAACGCAGTAATGTGGATGAAACAAATTTAAAAAATTAAACTTTAAAACCACATGCTCTTAGGGCTCATTTGATAACCATTTCAATTTTAGTTTTTAGTTTTCATTTTTCATTTTTTGTGCTTGAATATAGAGGAAAAAGAGGGAGAATGGGAGTGAGAATGAGAGTGGAGATGGGATTGAGAGGGAAGATGAGAGGAGAGGATGGGAGGGAGGAGTAACAAAAGTGAAAACAAAAACTAAAAACTGAAATCTATTTGAAATTGTTTTCACTTTTGTTACTCCTCCCTCTCTCTCAATCTCATCCTCACTCCAATTCTCACTCTCATTTTCCTCCATACTCTAGCAAAAAAAATGACAAATGAAAACTAAAAACTAAAATTGAAATGGTGCCCTTAATTTCTCAACAATTTCTTTCATTTTTTCACTAAATTCTCACAGCAACCAAAGAGAACAAAGCAGAAGTGAATTATGGACTGAAAGTAAGAGTGCTAACAACAAAATTAAACCTTGTCCCAAGGAACTTGGGTGAGTATGGTTCCGTCTTCGTCTTCAGCAAGACCTTGATTGTACTCTCTCCTGGACCTAGGGTCAGCTAGGGTTTCGCAAGCGGCCAGAAGGATCTGCCTCCGGCTGAACAATGCTTCTTGAGTGAAGCCGTACTGCGGTGGCTTGGAAGCCCTAGCCTCGTAAGCTCTCCTTATACCGTCCCCGAGGAAATGTTGCTGGGCGCCCAGAACCTGGTAGAAGTCGATGGGGATGGACACGTGGCGCTCAGGGGAAGCGATATGGGGAGGCAGATGAGGAGGAGCGAGAGTGGCGGTGGCTGAATATAGGGAATGGTGGTTTTGGTGGTCTGAGGAGGAGGAGGAGGAGTCGCCGAGGAATTGAAAGTCGGCGAGGAGGCGCTCCGCCCATTTGCTGGCGAAGCAGGTGGGATTGAGCTTTTGAGGTCTTCTTTGGTGTCGAAAAGGGACAAGACTTGGAGTGGAGAAGCCAATGCCAAAGTGTTTCAAGGTCTCCATTGCAGAGAGTGTTCACTGCGCTTAAACCCTCTTCAGCTTCTTTTCTGGGTTTGAAATCCCAACTTTTTATTTCCGTTTTCCATTTTTCTTTTTTTGTTCACTGTTTGCAGTTTTAAACGTCAGATGATATTGTAACCATATGGTGTACGACAACGCGATAAACCCAATTCTCAGCAAGGTCAATATGAGTTATATATTTCCATCTGCCAATTGATATCGCAAATCCGTTGTAGTCTAGTTGGTCAGGATATTCGGCTCTCACCCGAAAGACCCGGGTTCAAGTCCCGGCAACGGAATTCAAAATTTTTATTTTTATTTTAGCCACTTACTACTTTTGCTGAAGGCCCAGTCTGCTCTTTCTGGGCAACGAATGAATCAATGTAGCCCAAAGTGAACATGCCCACGTCCAGTCCAGATAACCAAACAATTACGTCTCTACAGGGGCAAGTCATTTTATAGTGAGGGCCTTATATAATGCCCTTAGGGAAGAAGGTCTTATCTCTTAACTGTTGAATCAGGATATAAGACCAACTTATAAGGCTTGTTAGAGCATGTTACTTGTTTTTATGTTTTTACTTATATATTTTTTGGTCTGAATGTTTTTACTTAAATGAGGAGATGAAAGAAGAAGCATCCAAAAATGATTCACTAGAAAACAGCCCAAGTGTTGCTTTTCTGAAAATCATGATTCAAGGGGCCAACAATTGGGTATTGAGATTATATTTTATAGTTAGGCAAGGCAAAGGAGATTAAAAAAAAAATTCAATCATCCTAACCAATGAATAAGGAAGAAGATCCATATTATTTATTAGAGGGGAATTGGATGAAGCTGAATCACTTTATGAAGAATAATAAATAATAAAGAAAAACTGATAACAGAATAATTATCCTTCCTTAACCCACATTGTTTTATAATAGTGAGGGGTTCCATTCCATTGGCATATAATCCAAGACAAGAAAATAAATAAGCTAAAGTAAGAAAAATCAATTTCCCAGGAAACCAGTCAACATGTCTTTTGGGGGTTGAGGGTGACATTATCAAACTCTCCACATTGACAAAAACTCAGACAAGTTCGTGATTCCGGGTCCCATCACTAGTTAAGAGCCGCACCAGACAGAAAATTAAAAACTCTCTGTCTTTTCGTTCGTTATATCATAAACAAATAAAAAGACTTTCGTCCCAGAAAAAAAAAAAAAAAAAAAAAACAAATAAAAAGAGTCTTTTGGGGAAAAGAGGGAAAGAACCAAAAGGCAAAAGCAACACCTGAAGTTGGGCGCATAGGAGCCGTATGATATGGCGTCGTTTCTCTCAAAACCTCTTTCCCTTCCACTTCTTCTTCATACGCTCCCCCCAAACTCCCACCACCACAGACAAAAACGCCACTCGACCCACACTGCTTCTAAATTAATCAATAAATAAATAAAATATATTGCAATTTCCTACAGCCATTTTCACTTCTCCCCAGTTTTCTTTCTCCCTCTTCTCTGTCTCTCTAATGGCAACGGCTACTTTCTTCTTCTTCTGCTTCATCATAACAACAATGGCTATTTGCTTCTCATCCACCACCACCTTAACGTCCGCTCTACAATCCGAGGAGATCCAAGCGTTAACGTCCTTTAAGCTTAACCTCCACGATCCGCTTGGCGCTCTCGACGGCTGGGATGCGTCCACGCCATCAGCCCCCTGCGACTGGCGTGGCGTCGTCTGTTACAACAACCGCGTTCATGAGCTCCGCTTGCCTCGTCTCCACCTCGGCGGCCGCCTCACTCACCACCTCTCCACCCTCCGCGACCTCCGCAAGCTCAGCCTCCACACCAACAACTTCAACGGCTCCATACCTGCCTCTCTCTCCCAATGCGCTCTCCTTCGCGCTCTTTACTTGCACGACAACTCGCTCTCCGGGACTCTCCCCGCGGCAATTCTCAACCTCACCAACCTCCAAATCCTCAATGTCGCTCATAACTTCCTCTCCGGCAAAATCTCCGGCGACTTTCCGGCGACCCTCCGGTACATTGACCTTTCGTCGAACACGTTATCCGGCGACATTCCGTCCAACTTCTCCGCCGACTCGAACCTCCAGCTCATCAATCTCTCATTCAATCAGTTTTCCGGCGGAGTTCCGGCGACCATCGGAGCCCTTCAGAACCTTCAATACCTGTGGCTGGACTCGAACCAGTTGTACGGAACGCTGCCCTCGGCGATTTCCAACTGTTCCTCGCTCGTACATTTAAGCGCGGACGACAACGAGCTTAGAGGTTTAGTTCCGACGACGATCGGAGCAATGCCGAAGCTTCAGGTGGTGTCGCTGTCACGGAACGAGTTGTCAGGGTCGGTCCCCGCGTCTTTGCTGTGCAATATTGCCAACTACGACTCCTCGCTCAGAATCGTGGAGCTTGGCTTCAATGCGCTCACGAGCATTGCTAAGCCGCCAAATATCGCAAGGTGCTCGAGCGTTTTGGGGGTCCTGGACCTCAAATCTAATCGCATACGGGGCCCATTTCCATCTTGGTTGACAAACGTGACAACAATTATAAGAGTATTAGATCTTTCTGGAAACTTGTTTTCAGGTGCATTGCCTGCTGAAATTGGCAATCTTTTGCGGTTGGAAGAAGTGAGGTTGGCGAATAACTCGCTGAGTGGTGAGCTTCCTGGTGGGATTGTAAAATGCAGTTTGCTACGGGTTCTTGATGTTGAAGGAAACAGATTTTGGGGTCAAGTTCCTTCCTTTTTGGGAGGAATTAGAAGCTTGAAGGTGTTATCTTTGGGCGGGAATTTTTTCGCCGGTGCTATTCCGACGAGTTTGCGGGCACTTTCGGAGCTCGAATCGTTGAATTTGAGCAACAATAATCTGACTGGCAAAGTTCCAGATGAGCTCGTGATGCAGCTAACCAACTTGACTATTTTGAACCTGAGCAATAACAAGTTTTCTGGTGAGATTAATGTTGGGGAGTTGAGGAGCTTGCAGGTTTTAAATTTGAGCAACTGTGGGTTTTCAGGAGGCGTTCCTGCGACTATTGGAGGTTTGATGAAGCTTGAAACACTGGATTTGAGTAAGCAAAAGCTTTATGGGGAGATGCCGATTGAGATTTTTGGGTTGCCGAGTTTAAAAGTGGTTGCTCTGCAAGAAAATCACTTGTCTGGGGATGTTCCTCAAGGTTTTAGTAGCTTGATTAGTTTGCTCTATCTAAACCTCTCCTCCAATGCCTTTGCTGGTGATATTCCTGCAACTTATGGATTTCTCAAGTCATTAAGTGTTCTATCTTTGTCCGAAAATCGTATTTCCGGTGCGATCCCACAAGAGCTTGGTGATAGTTTGAGTCTTCAAGTACTTGAGCTTCGTTCAAATCAATTAAGGGGCAAAATTCCAGGTGATATCTCTCGCCTATCTAATTTGAAAGAGCTGGATTTGGGTGATAATAAATTGACAGGTGACATCCCAGAGGAGATTTCCAAATGCTCTTCTCTAACTTCTCTGTTGTTAGATGGGAACCAACTTTCAGGTCACATACCAAACTCGTTACCTAAGTTATTGAACCTTACAGTGTTAGACCTTTCCTCTAACAAGTTGAGTGGGGCCATCCAGGAAAATCTCTCGCTCATCATCCCTCACTTGAAGTACTTGAATGTGTCTAACAATAACCTTGCTGGTGAGATTCCAAAGCCATTGGGCTCTCAGTTCAATGATCCTTCTGTGTTTGCAATGAACAGGAATTTATGTGGGAAGCCATTGGATAGAGAATGTGCAGATGTGAGGAGGAGAAAAAGGAACCGGTTGATTTTATTAATTGGGGTGGCTGTGGGTGGAGCTTGCCTTCTGGCATTGTGCTGTTGTGGCTATGTCTACAGCCTCTTGAGATGGCGTAAAAAGCTTAGAGAAATGGTGGGTGGGGGGCAGAAGAAGCGCAACAGCCCTCGAACAAGCTCAGGAGGAGACCAAAGGAGTCGGGGAAGTGGCGAAAATGGAGGGGGGCCGAAACTTGTGATGTTCAATAGCAAGATCACATATGCAGAGGCATTAGAAGCAACAAGACAATTCGATGAGGAAAATGTGTTAAGTAGGGGAAGATATGGGCTGGTATTCAAGGCCACATTCCAAGATGGAATGGTGCTTTCGATTAGACGCCTTCCTGATGGTTTCCTTGATGTAGGCGGTTTCCACAAAGAAGCTGAAGCTCTTGGCAAGGTGAAGCATCGGAACCTAACAGTTCTGCGCGGCTATTATGCAGGCCCTCCTGATGTGAGGCTCCTGGTATACGATTACATGCCTAATGGAAACCTAGGCACTCTTCTTCAAGAGGCCTCTCACCAAGATGGGCATGTACTAAATTGGCCAATGCGTCACCTCATTGCACTTGGCATTGCTCGGGGGTTAGCTTTCCTGCACTCTGTCTCAATCGTACATGGTGATGTGAAGCCGCAAAACGTTCTTTTCGACGCTGATTTCGAAGCCCATTTGTCTGAATTTGGTCTAGACCGGCTAACCAAAGCCACACCAGCAGAAGCCTCCTCATCTTCTACACCAATTGGGTCCTTAGGCTACGTGTCCCCTGAAGCTGCATTGACCGGAGAAGCGACGAAAGAAGCCGATGTCTACAGTTATGGGATTGTGTTGTTGGAGATATTAACTGGGAGGAAGCCGGTGATGTTTACTGAAGAAGATGAAGATATTGTGAAATGGGTGAAGAGGCAATTGCAGAGAGGTCAAGTTTCAGAGCTGCTGGAGCCAGGGCTGCTTGAGCTAGACCCTGAATCATCGGACTGGGAAGAGTTCTTGCTGGGAGTGAAGGTGGGGCTTCTCTGCACGGCTCCTGATCCGCATGATAGACCATCCATTGCTGACGTCGTCTTCATGCTCGAAGGTTGCAGAGTCGGCCCTGACATCCCGTCCTCAGCCGATCCAACCTCACTGCCTTCACCAGTCTAATTCTTATTTATTTATTAGAATATTAATGTTCGGGGAAAAGAATGACACATTAATATTTAAAAGGTTTGATTAATTCCAATTTCTTTTCTACTTTTGCTCAACTACATAACTTTCACCTGACGGCGGCAAGGGAGAAGGGACCCTCCGCTCCGCTCCATAGTCAAACTAAGATTTTCCATTTATTTATTTCCCGCCAAAACGCTAATGGTTAATCGGGATAAGCCACGTGTCAAGTTGTAAAGAGAGGGGAAAGTAGCCGTTAAGATATGACGTCGGCCTCTTTTATCGGGAAAGGCAACGGGGCGTCAGATTCTTTGGGCCGTGCACGTCGGATTGATTAGGTGAAAGTGTTGACCAGCACGTGGCCCCTGACCAGTCCAAAGCACTTGATGTGAAACAAGACTATTTTTCTGCCTTTTTTTTTGTTTATTTCTTTTAAAATAAAAATCTTTGTGATGGGTATGTTTTGGGGAAGCAAATAATTTGACGGTACACGGGAACTTGAAGGGTTCTGGGTTGTGGGTCCCACACCCACACTGCATCAGCAGAACTGGTCAATAGTAAGTAACTCAGAAGTTCAGAGATGATAATAGGAAGTTGCAGAGTACGTGATGAGAAAGCAGCAAGTGGAAAGTGGAGAAGTTTTTTAGGGTAAAAATCCTTGTGACTTTAAGTGCCCAATAACACTGAGACCGACACCACATTCAGTCGGGTCATGAAAACGAACCATTCATTCAATTGCAATGGCAGCAGTACCCACTCACTGTTCAATTGGAAGACATGTCGTTTTCACTATTTTTTATTTTATTTTTTTAATTTCCAAACATCTCAATAACTACTCACAAAAAGGCAGCTGTCCACTTAAATATTTGTCTACCATAATGAAAGCTTAAATATTTGCATATCAACCATAACGTACTACTGACAGAATGTGTAAAGAATAGTGTAAAAGTAACTCTGCCGTTGGTAATGTGCATACTTACACTACCTGTAGGTATTTATGCATACACGAATATCACAAATGCACTTGAAAGAATGGAAAGATTTAATCTGGGAAATTTCCAGGACTCCTACTGACTACCGGGGACTCTTTACTTTGTACAAAGAAAAGGCGAGAACTACTAAATACTCTTTTCAGGCGGATGTCAAACCTTCAGGTAACGATTCAACGTCAGTTTCAGGAGAAAGAAATCTTCGGCAAGCATACAAAACAGCTGAATGGAAACGATCCGGTTGGTCTATGAATACAAAGTGCCCAGCCTGCAGTTATTTATCAGAAACATGTTATTAATTGAAGCCAGTTTATCGTGTAATCGAATTAATAAGAAGCAAGAGAGTAGAAAAGAGAGGGAGAAGGAGCAAGAGAAAATGAGAGAGAGTCACCTCAGGAACCCTAATTATCTCACACGGAACCTTCATATGCTTGCCAGCTTCTTGAGCCCCTTGGTAGTTCATCCAGTCTAGATAGCCATAAATGAAAGTAGTTGGCACTTTCCACTCTTGTGCACTGTACATAAAAGAGGAGGAATACATGTAAACCCTTCACTAAAAGCAATTTTATTACAACAATCTTCCCACTCTTCTATGATATTTGGAAAAGATTAGTATCATCGAATCAAACCTGTGAATAAGGGGACTCCTAGCAAACGCTCCAAAAGAAAATATATACTTCAAGCACAGCTCCCCACTAGCTTTGGCTGCTAAAGTATGGTATACATAATCTTCAATTGGAAAAAAGCAACCATCAGAATCTTAGAAGTAGGATATGTATGTTCTATACACAAACAACTGTATGTAAAATAACCTGTTAACAGTCCGGATTCCTCTTCAGTAAGTGTGGTCCCTGTTGAATAAGAACCGAATCTAGTACTGGTGTAACTCCGAACAAGATTTGGACCCAAAGGCCCTAACCCTCTGCATGGTAAACATATACAAACTTCAGATCTAAA